GATTTGTGAATGGCAGCTACCAAATTAATGTTGGAAGGTCACATGAGGATGACAAGATTATGAATATATATTATATATAGGTGTCTACCCTGCTGGGGGGAAAAAACAGCTAAACAGTTTTGGCTGGTTTTAGCTGGCCATCCAGCCTGGTCATAGCTGGTCAGCAGGTTTTAGAGGGGTTTTGGCCACTTCCTTAGCTGGTCAGGCTGGGAGACCAGCTGGAACAACCAGCTATAACCAGCTTCACCAGCCTAGCCAGGCTTTTCTGTGCTCTGTTTGCTGCATACGTGTGGATTATTATGCAATAACCACCAAAGAGGAGAGGAAGAGGACCCAATATGATCATATGTGCCAGGGGTCCTGTAAACTTTAATAGGCATCTATACAGTTTCTTGTGTAAAGAACTAGTTAACACTGTGAACAATTAGTAATATATCTCAAATATTATTTGAAATGTATTCAGTTTCTATTAAGTTTTTTTAATAGAAAGTATTCTATTAAGTATTAAGACATTATTACGTCATTACAGTGTTTTTTCTTTCTTTCTTTCTTTTTTTCTTTCTTTCATTTATTTATTTACTTATATATTTACTTATCTTTAATTCATTTATTTTATTTAACCTTACTTATTTATTTATTTAAACTGTTATTCTCTAAACTTTTCTTTAGACCACCTAGCCCTGTCTTGTGTCCCTTGTTTGAAAACATTTCCCTAGACAACCGCTTATTAAATTGTAACCATTTGACCATGGTAGAAAGCTGGTATTAAATATTAATGCTTACATTTTGTATTACATAGAGATGCAATAGCAAGTGCTCTTAAACATGACTTCAGACATCTCTGGATATTAAAAGTTTAAGTTCGCACAGCCCAGTCCTCATAATCCTCCATTTATTCTCCCAAAACACTTGGTTTTCATCAACAGATGTTATGGCAGGTCAACAAAATTGAACAGAACGGCCTGAAACTTACCGAAACTTAGATCATGAATCCCACTTATAGATAATATGAGTGTATTCAGGCAGGAATTACAGTGAAGAAGCTCTGCAAGTGTGTGTGTGTGTGTGTGTGTGTGTGTGTGTGTGTGTGTGTGTGTGACCACAGACCTCAGTGTCACATCAGGAGCAGACTCACACGTCTCAATAGCCAAAGTCCCCACTCATACCATTATAAACAGCTTCTTCCCCTCCTCTCTGTGGCAGAAATGGGCCTGAGGCAATGAGCCCAGAAAACTTATGATGAAGCTGGCTGCCAGACTTGAGTGTCCCCCGCCAAAGCGTTTCAGGAGGCAGTAGTAATTGATCGGCCAGGAGAAGAGCACAAGTGAAGAAATGATGTCTGAGAGACTGCCAGCCTTAGTGTCTAATGGGCCTCATCTCTTCTCACACGTGCAGGCACATTTTTCTTCACCACTTCTCTATCTATCTAAACCACATTTAAGCGGGAATCTACGTTTATATCCTTCTTTTCTTTAAACTTGAGACTGGAGAGGGGACACGAAATTGACTATGAATTATTATTTTTCAGATATGTATTTTTTTCTTTTTTTAAATATAAATGAATTAATAATGTAATAAATAAATAAATGTTCACACTATGACTGAACAACAAAATAGATAGCAGTGTTATTTTAGTATCATTGAGATACTATTATAGTTTTAATTAATATTTGGAAGCCGTTTTTTAATTTCATGTTTTATGTTTTAATTTTAGTCAAAGTTTTAGTCATTTTGTTGTTGTTGGGTTTTTTTTCATCTATTTTTTATACTTTTTTATTTTAGTTAAAGTTAAATCTAAATTAAAATAAAAGTTACAATATATACAGTAAAGTTTTTATATATTTTATTTTAACTCAGTTAATGTTTTATTTCAAGTATGTTATTTTATTTATTTTTTTATGGTTTATGTTTTAGTTTCAGTTTGTTTTATTAACTAATAACCATGATAGAAAGTGGTAATATTTTGGCTGCTTTTGTTACAATTATATCTCTGAAAACAATTCAGTATATCAGGACAGCAATGTTCATGTATCTTGCTTGAAGGACAGCACTACATATCGCTATAGAATCTAAAGTATTGGTTATCAATCCGACGGATGTATTCAAAGTTAGCTGACAAATTAATCTCAGAGCCATTGCAATCTCCGTAACAGCTGAGCCTGATGAAATGTACTCCATGTGGCTTTTAAATGTATAAGTTTGAAGAAGGACAGTCAATGTCAGTGTACTGTATGATGCTGAAATACAACTGAAGGTCAGTCCAATTATCTGTAATGGAGCCCCTCCTTTGCGAGATGCCCACCCCACCAAAATATTAACAGGTCCTTGCATGAATATGAATTACAGTAAGGGTGGGGTGGACAGGGTGATCCTGTCAGGCTCCTATCAGCGAGCACACCAGCATCCCAATGTCAAGTCGACGGGAGAGGACACTGCCTTCATTAAGGTATAGGGTGCGTTTGGTGGACGATGGGGGTGCATTTACATGAGAAACGAGGGAGGAGGGAAGCATTCACATCCTAATCACTCATTCACTTATCTCATTCAGACAAAGTCAGATAGAGCTCTGATGACACCAGGGTCATGATTAGAATGCTTTAAACATTCATTTATAAAAATCTGAGACAAAGATGAGCGTGAACCATGCTCTTCAATGTTAGTTTTTCTGTATTCCCGGCAGTGATTTTGCTGATTGTCCCATTTGGGCACCCATCAGGGGGCTAATGCAACAGAAATGACAAGGCAAATGATGTTCGATGAATGAGGGAATTTTATGATTTCACTCACTTAAGGTTCATTCATACAGCATATGCTCGATTATGAAATGATATTTCAGATGGTAGCAGTAGCAGCAGCTGCAACTGTGTATATTGTTGGGGAGACTATTATTTGCTGTCTGCAAATGTTGTAGCCCAATATTTGTATGCAAGACTTGAACAGGTAAGAGTGGCTGATTTGTGCAGCAATACTGCCCCTGGAGGTGACTCATGCTCAGTACAGGACACTGTGTCAGAAGAGGGCTTGAATAGTAAGTGGTTTTGGAATGCATTGATTAATGTTATGGTGCGTGGAAGTTTTATTAAAAAAGGAAGGTGGTGTTTGATCATCTGTTATAAACAGCTGAGCCTGATGAAATGTACTCCATGTGGCTTTTAAATGTATAAGTTTGAAGAAGGACAGTCAATGTCAGTGTACTGTATGACGCTGAAATACAACTGAAGGTCAGTCCAATTATCTGTAATGGAGCCCCTCCTTTGCGAGATGCCCACCCCACCAAAATATTAACAGGCCCTTGCATGAATATGAATTACAGTAAGGGTGGGGTGGACAGGGTGATCCTGTCAGGCTCCTATCAGCGAGCACACCAGCATCCCAATGTCAAGTCGACGGGAGAGGACACTGCCTTCATTAAGGTATAGGGTGCGTTTGGTGGACGATGGGGGTGCATTTACATGAGAAACGAGGGAGGAGGGAAGCATTCACATCCTAATCACTCATTCACTTATCTCATTCAGACAAAGTCAGATAGAGCTCTGATGACACCAGGGTCATGATTAGAATGCTTTAAACATTCATTTATAAAAATCTGAGACAAAGATGAACCATGCTCTTCAATGTTAGTTTTTCTGTATTCCCGGCAGTGATTTTGCTGATTGTCCCATTTGAGCACCCATCAGGGGGCTAATGCAACAGAAATGACAAGGCAAATGATGTTCGATGAATGAGGGAATTTTATGATTTCACTCACTTAAGGTTCATTCATACAGCATATGCTCGATTATGAAATGATATTTCAGATGGTAGCAGTAGCAGCAGCTGCAACTGTGTATATTGTTGGGGAGACTATTATTTGCTGTCTGCAAATGTTGTAGCCCAATATTTGTATGCAAGACTTGAACAGGTAAGAGTGGCTGATTTGTGCAGCAATACTGCCCCTGGAGGTGACTCATGCTCAGTACAGGACACTGTGTCAGAAGAGGGCTTGAATAGTAAGTGGTTTTGGAATGCATTGATTAATGTTATGGTGCGTGGAAGTTTTATTAAAAAAGGAAGGTGGTGTTTGATCATCTGTTATCCAGAAGTGATAACATACTGATGAAATGTATTCCATGTAGTTTTTAAAGGTATAAGATTGTTAAAAAATAGTCAATTATTATTATTCATCTTCTTAAATATATAAATACATTGATAACATATTAACATGTTAAAAAAATGTTTTTAAATAGTTTTAAATATTGTTGTTTTTACTATCACTCCACTCTCTGCTGTCATAAAGTCATTTGTCAAGTGATGTAACATACTGTACCACTGGATTATAGGTTAAAATAACTGGGTAAAACTGCAAATGCATTGCAAGGGGCATGAACAGATAAAATATCCAGAATTATAAAAAATAAAAAAAAATCGGTAATTTCACGAAAAGGGTGCCTTTGTGCCCCTTATGCACGTGTACATGTAATGACTACTATAAACTATACAAATGAAAAGTTGACTAATACTATGTGCATTTATACAACACAACAACAATTTATTTATTTTCATTATTATTATTATTATTATTATTTTGAAAAATGAAAAAATATATATACAAATGTAAAAATTCATTAAATTAATTTGATAATAATTACATTTAATATTTAAATAATAATAATAATTTAATTGTTTATATTTTATTTGTATTTAATTTATTTTAAAAAGTTTTAATTGATTAAAAACATGTTAAAATATGATAACTAACTACCAAGGTGAAATAATACCATACATAATTTTTAAAACTTTAATGTGAGAGTTCCTGGGCCTGTAGAAATAGATTTCTCTCTCTCTCTCTCTCTCTCTCTCTAATTTTGTCATTAAAAATAATAATTGTGAAGGCTCTTAAACGTAACATCCGTGTTGAGTAATACGGGTTTTTCTCCAACATGGCAACCCAGACACACGGAACTGAACCGCTCAATCAGATCGTCGGAAGCATGTGACGTAACATGGCCAATAAACTGTCAGTAATCCCCCGGTTATTGTAGCGGGAAACTTTATGATAAACAGTATCAATCCAAAAACAATGCGAACATTAAATGATTTACTGCATAATCATTTTCCAACTCCTTCTGTATGGGTGAGTCTTTTGCTTCCTGGTTTTCCATCACTTTTACTAACAGGTTAAACGTTTCGCTCGGTTGCCATAACAAACAAGCTAGTGAGCTAATAACGAAACCTAGGGCCTGTTTCATAAAACAAGCTTACCAAATAAGCCAGGCTTATTTCAGTTAGTCTGACTTATTTTGAACCAAATCAACTGACAATAAGTCAGACTAACTGAAATAAACCTGGTTTATTTGGTAAACTTGTTTTATGAAACAGCCCCCTAGAATCACACATTTTCACTTTCTTCAATAACAGCCTGTTTGTTTATAATGCAGCGCGAGCAGACTTTTCTGTCTCTCTTCCAGACGCTTTCTTGTTTAGGTTGTGTATCAAATTTGATTAAACATAGTTTATTTGTTGTATGCAGTTATTCTTAAATTAACACTTGTATATAAAACGTAGCACTAATTCTGATGTTTGTCTCGCAGTGTTTCAGTGAATTATGGCTCATAGACTGACTAAAGAGGAGCTGGATCAGCAGTTTGAACAGTTCTTGAAAGAGGTACAATCTTTTGTTAACTATTGACAATTTTCTGTTTACGTTTGGATATATATATATATATATACTGTCATATGATATGTAAAACCTTTGGAAGGATTATGCTTCTTGTTATATGACACGTGTATTTTGCTAATTATTTTATAATTCTTCTATATGCAGTGTATTAATTGAAAGACAACATGCATTACATTATTGTTGAGCACAGTATTCCAGGTAAATTTTATTCTGTTGTGTATTTATGCTTTTTTCCAGTCTGTCTCTGATGACTCTGTTGATTTGGGTACCAGCACCAGGCATCCTAGTGTTCTTGACAGCTTGGGACAAGCACCTGTCAGGCCAGTAAAGAAGGCTTCAGTGTCTGTGCCGTGGTGGCAGGATGATGATGGCAGTGAAGAGGGACCAGGTGAGTGCTGGAGTCAAAAAGGAGCTTGGCTAAAATCTCCAGCCAAATCTTTAGCATAATCTTTGTCCTGGATATGAAACCCAAAGGTTTACGGTTCAGACCTTGAGAGAGTTTCTGAGATCCACTGAGATCTCCTTTGAGCAAGACACTTTATCTCAAATTTCCAGGGATGCATCCTCTTCTTGTAATAAGTGTATTGTGTGTACATGTGAATAAGGAAGGTGTATCTGTCTAATAATAATCTTGGGGGTTTAAGCAACAAATATTGTAGTTTAGACATTTGTCCACTTGAGGGCAGCAAGCACAAAGCAGTAGACAATATAAATAATGCAAACTCAACTGAAGATGCAGATGTTCAATTGCACTGCCTTTGTTTCCAAATGACTTGCATGTAGATCAATTGATTAATTTTTAGCCGTTTGTTCAGCAAATTATTTTTCTGACTAGAATAAATTGAATAGAATAGCTGACTGTTGTTGTTTTATGTTGTTGGCTTACATATTATAACTCATACATATTACATATTATAGATTATAAAATTCTAGATATCAACTGATGCATGTGTTTTTTGATATGATTAGACCTGATTTAGTCTTCACCTGATGTTAGTCATCTAGGCAGCCTAATTACTTCTGCAATGGAAGAGTTGCCATTTTTTCGTTACGTTACATGCTCTTAAAGGCAGAGTAAGTGATTTTTCAAAAACACTTTAGAAAACTGATTCGGGCCGAATCGCAAAACAAACTTGTAGCCAATCAGCAATACGGGGCGTGTCTACTCGTGATGTGGAGGAGAGCGCCTTCAGTGCATGGGACGGACATTAGCCGAGCCGAGCGACAGAAAGATAGAGATTGCGGATAAAAAAAACAAAAGAGGAAAACGTCTGCGGAACGATAAGGCAAGAAGTAGGACCCGTGTAAAATATCGGATCAGCTTTCCAGCGCTGGAGAGAACTCAAGGAGCGGAGGCCTGCGATCGGACGCCGAGGTTGCTTTGTTTCTTCTCAATAGTGAGTAACACCGTGTCTACAACAGCTAAAGTCTGCCTACACTGGACGCGATCAAACGACCCTTGAAAACCATTTGAAATTTGTGTCAGCATGTCATAAATAGAACCCGGCAGCAGTTGTCTGTCGGGGATTTGTTGCGCCGCACCGCTCACGTCCGTAGACACGGTGTAACATTGCTTTTGCTTTGTTTCACAGAACTAATCGTTGCCTGGGTTGCGTACGTATATGTGAGGCGGAGCTATCAAAATAGGGGCAAGACCCTTTTGGGGTAGGGGCGTGTTTGTTTTGGTGATTTCAAATATCAACATTGGCTACCAGAAATCACTTACTCTGCCTTTAATAGGCTTGCTTTGTTTTGGAGGATTTGGGTTTCCCAGTGCCTTTGCACTTGCTTGCATGTAAATTGACTGTTTGCAGTTAGTCATTTAGCAGATGCTTTTATGTAAATTGACTTACAAATGAGGAAAATAAAGCAATTTATCATAGGTGCTAATATCAAAACCTAACAAAATAGTCTATTGGATGTCACAAGTGCATTTATATCTAAACAACAGTAAAGAAGTGTGGCATAATAGGAAAATACCTAAACTAATTGTGCCTTGTTCTAGTACCATCAAGTCCCTCAGTGATTAGGGTGTTGTTTACTACATAAACACATTACTTGTTTCTCAAAATCATGCTGTAGTCCTGAGATAAGACATCTTAATTTTCAGTCATTCTGAATTTATAAGTATGGGAATGATTTGTGATATTTTGACACTCAGTAGTGTATTGCTTTGCGTTTCCTCTCAATGCATTTTGTGTTGGAGGATTATTTAAAGTTCCAAATATTGTCTGCATGACTGTTCAGAAGTTTGGGGTCATTAAGTTTATTTGTTTGTTGAAAGAAATGGATATTTATATTCAGCAAGGCTGCATTAAATTGATCAAAAAGACAGAAAGGACATTTATAATGTTAAATAAATGCTGTTCTTTAGAATTTTTTATTCATCAGGACATTCTGAAGAGTATCACAGTTTCCACAAAGATTTTATGACGCACATATTTTTTCAACAGTAATAATAATAATAATAATAAGTAGATTTTTGTTTTTGTTGAGCACCAAATCAATCAGTATATTAGAATGATTTGAAGCATCATGTGACACTGAAGACAGGAGTAACCATCAAAGGAATAAACTTCTAATATGTTTGAAATATATTAAAATATCAAGCATTTATTTTAAATTATAATAATAATAATGATAATATTTCACAGTATTACTGTTTTTACTTTATTTTTGATTAAATAAATTCAGCTTCTTAGGAGATTTAAAAATATTACCAACCTTGAACATTTGAACAGTAATGTATATCTGTAATTTTATTTTTCTTTAAAAGAAAAGAGCTTCATAGTCAGAACTAAAAGACATTTTTATTGTACATTTATAGTCTAGTTTTCTGTTCAACAAGTGTGTTGTCTCAGCAGTAAACAAGTTTTGTGTCTGATAAATAGCAATAATTCCAAGAATTAAGGTTTTATTCACTTTTCCTTGAACCTCTGAAGTGCTGTTCACAGAGATGTATCATTTTCAGCTATTACTGTTCATCATTTGAATAGATGAAAAAGTCTGCCCCACAGGGACCACTTAATGTTATTTGTCCAATTTCACATTTTATCCATCAAGCTGTAGTAATTCTTCCTTTCTTTGTATTTGACATAATCGTCTTGTCTGTGCAGTCTCTCTTTTTCATTCTGCTTTTCTCTTTTTCCATCCCTTTTGCAGAAAAAGCCACTAAACGCCGTTTTACTAAAATTAAAAAGTCCCAAGCTGTGGACCCTCAGGTGGAATCCAGACACAGAGAAAGCCCTCCTCTGGGTACTTCATCTTATTCATTAGTCGATGATGTACCTTAAAGGTGAAGTGTGTAATTTTTGTGCCACACAATATAATTGCAAAAAATATTGTTTTCAAACAGGTTTCCTTAAAGTATTGTAACATTGAAAACTACACACTTCACCCTTTTACCATAGTATTACTTGGATATTCCTTTAGATCTTTAATGGATGTCTACATGTACCCTGTATTTTTTTAGTCGTTTTTTTTTTAGGTTTCACTCTTGAAAACAACTCGTTTAGAGTAGCTGGTTAAAGCTTTAAGTGTCATTTAGTTTTTTCCTGATCATTGTATGATTTTTAACTCTCATTTGGTGACGTCTACCTGTTTTACGAACTTCTTTCATGTTGTTGTTTTTCTTCCTTTGTTCATTCCCCTTATAAACCGTAGTCCCTATTAAACCCACCCCTAAACCTCATAGCAAAGCACTTGATAGGGTGAGCCAGTTGTCCAATCAGAGGGCATCCCACAACAAGAGTCCTGAACATGATGCAGTAAATGAGAAGATGCTATCACCTAACCATAGTTACTCTTTAGAGGAGCAGAGGGTCTCAGAGGAAGACTCTTGCTGCGTACCAAGTCCAGCGCCTGATAACACCTCCAGTACATCAGGACACAAGAGTCCCATTCACACTGATTCTGATGAGTTGTCTGTGGAAAGCGATGCTAGTCATTCAGTCGAGATGGAAGATGGTATCAGTAGATTGTTATTTTGATTTTTAATGTTTTGTGGGAGTTTACTTGCCATTATTGGCTTTATTTCTTCGTAAGTTTACCTTAATACATAATTATATGCAGTAATTAAGCACAACAGACCAGAGCTGTTGTTTTAGTTATATGAAATTGCAGCTGCAGTGTTTGCAGCACCAGTTTTTGCTGTAAACAAATCCTTGGAATAGTGCCTGTTTGAAGAACATGTAGTGCCATTTAGTAATTTCTCTGATGTCTAGTTAATTGAATATGTGCTGCTCAGAATAATAATGTGCCACACAGAGGGCCAATATATCAAACAGTGGATTTACTCATAAGAATTTTTTTTTTTTTAAAGAAGTCTGCTAAACTATGTAGACATTCTTTTGTATGTTTTGACATTTTTAGAAATGCATGTCACTGAATTGCTTCTGTTCAGTGGCTAGTTAAATAAAAAGTATATTCTGAATAGTTTTATTTATTTGAAGGGTAAAGAACAAACAATAACTTTTAAGGTATGTTGTACTTTTTAAAGAAGGTCTGGTTTGGAAAAATGGATTGTAATGTAATACGTATGTTTCCTTGACTTGTAGGGATGTCATCAACAGGAAAGTCCTTCCTGAAGTCTCTGAGGAAGACTCCGTCCATTAAGGAGGTGGATGAAGAACAGCCGAAGGAGCTATTCTTGGAGGATGAAGGGAATAGAGACCAAGTCATCTTTAGCAGAGACAGTCTTGAGCCTGAAGGTCAGTCTCTTTAACTATTTCATAATATTTATCTTCACTCTCTTTATTTGACCTGTAATTGCTTCTTTACAGATTCTGTGATGGTGTCTGGTATGGTATCAAGTGCAGGTGTTCTAGGGCTGGATACATTGGATGAGGATGAGAATATCAGGTTTTTATCCAACCTGAAGAAAGAATCCTCTTCTTCCATTGACTATCCCAGAGTGAATCAAGAACAGGAGCCATCCACCCCCACCAGCCCACAAAGGTGCACCAAGAAATGAAAAAAGCTCTATGTGACTTAAAGCATAATGAATTCCAATGATGCTTTCTGTGAAGGAGTATTTGCATGTGTCCCTTCTTTAAATGTAGTTTCACCGTGTTCCTTTCAGAAGAGAAGAAATGGATTCAACAAATGAAGAAGAACAGAGAAATAATAAAGACTCTGCTGGTAAGAGCAAAGCAGAGAGAAATTGAAAGGGATGTGTTTTGTTGTTATTGCTTTCCGAAGCAATAAAACACTTGTATATTGCTTCTCTGTCAGCATCGCCTGCATATAGTGAAGATTTTGAGGAAGAGGCCAGCGAGAAAAGTAACGAGGTGCCTCAAGAGAAGGTGAATATACATTTTTTATGCACTTTAAGCCTATGAAATTAGCTCTGCCTTAAAAACTGGTGAATTCAGTAGTGAGTTATCTAGAGATACATGGATACAAATGCAGGTCCCTATCTACATTTTGCAATATATGCTGGCTGAGAAATACTGCGTTAATATTAAACTATTTTAAAGCGTGCTGGACAAATAATCAAAGTAGAAACAAAAGATATTGCAACAGATTGAAATCGAATGGTGCACTTGTTGATATTTTGATATATTGATATTTTATTTATGCATTTGTTCTTGCAAATAAAATAATTATGTAAAATGTTTTTTTTACACATTTACACTAAAACGCCAATAGTAATCCATCTCTAAATTAATATTATATTTGACAAATTCTTAAAATGACCAAAGGTAATTACTGTAGTCATTGGTGGTCTAGAAAAAGCTGTTTTATTCTATATTAGATCAGTCACCTTCTCATGGGGGGCTGCTGGGGTCTTTTATAGAATTATGGATGACATTTATTTATTTATTTATATATGTACAATATTAGGGAGATAACTTTTTTTTGCTCTTCTTTTTTTTTCAGAAGCCTGAAAGACAAGGCATGCTGGCCAAAGGTAAACAGCAATTTACAATTTACAGTGTGTAATGTTGTGAATGGTCATATCAGGAGGTGAAAGGCTGTTCTTACTGTTCTTATGTCCCAGTGTCACTGCATGACTCTCTCAATTCCACGGATGGAGCATTGCCTCCTGCAGTTCCCAGTTTGGCACCCAGGAAAGAAAAATGGCCAGACATCAAACAAACAGAGATGCCAGCATCGGAACCTGCAGGTTTGAGAATCTGTTCCTTTGCTTCAAGCTTGTATTGTTGAAGTAAACTTGCAACAAGTGATTTAACTCATTTTCTCCGCCATATCTAAGTTCAATCATATGGTCAGAGTGGAGGGAGTGAGATGGAGGCTCTCCAGGAGGCGTACAGGCAGATCAGCAGCTCAGCAGGGGAGTGTGAGGACAAACGAGCCGAGGGCAGCAGGACTCCCTTCTCTCTCTCTACACTTCAGCCTGCCTCCACCGTGGAGTCAGGTCAGACTCAGCACCTAGCTAATTGTTGCCAGTCACCATGAGCATGTCTTTGCTTTAAACATTTTGATTTGCAGCTTTTTCACCACAAATGCTTCCAGTTATGCTTGAAACCGAAGGACGTGAGGTTTTTAGCATTGGCTTTGTTTGCGGCATGAGACCCGCTAGCTGAATTCTAAACAACTCCATTTTGTTGAGGATGTCACAATGACTATTTTGCCTGGAATCTCGAAGTCTTCTATTAGAGGTCTGTTACCCTGATCGAAAATGAACGGAGGGGGTGGCGGACTAAACTACTGCCTCTGGCATTTCTTTCTAATTCTTTCTCACATGTTTTTCAGTGCCTTGTTTTGGCAGCAAATCCATGTAAAGCTTGCCAAAACAAGAACAGAAATTTTGTTATTTTTGTAAATATTTAGCATGAAAGCAATAAATTATTGCATTATTAAGATCAGCCCCTTTACAAGCACTATTTCTTAAAGAAAATTTATAAATTTAAGAGCACATTATACTTTTAATCAGAAAGGATGCATTTAATTGATCAAAAGGGACAATAAAGACCTTTACAATATTACAAACCATTTCTGATTCAAATAAATGCTGTTCTTTTGAACTTTTAATTCATTAAATAATCCTGAAATAAATATCATGGTTTCCACACAAATATTAAGCATCACTTAATGATAATTTTTTTTCAGCACCAAATCAGCATATTAGAATGATTTCTGAAAGATCATGTGACACTGAAAACTGGAGTAATGGCTGGAGTAACCGCTTACTGGTCACTGCCAAGGTCCAGAGAGACACAGCCATGCACACCAAATCCCTATCATTCTAAATAAAGCTTACCACTGAAAATTGGCTAGTGTGATTCTAGCCTAGGTGAAATTTTTGTCACCAGGGTCTCGTTTATGTACCACAGATTTACCCACTGCTGAGGAATTGATGCGTCCGATTGGACCAGACTCTGGATTCACCCGTGGCTTCTCTCTCCAGCCCATAATGTGAGTTCACTAGTTACCTTCACACACTATGAGTCATGTGTTCTCATTTCAGCAGCTTTAGAAGTTTTTGTCTTACAGTGGGGCTGTGCCTCAAGGCAGCGAGAATCATAGTCCATTAAGGATGTCTTCAGACGGGAGCCCTTTCAGTTCTGCTAATGAGGGCTGTGGAGGGGGTAATGCAGCTGGTCTTACAGGAGAGGAACATCCAGCCTCTCTTCAATACACTCAGAAGAGCATCGCTGAGGAGATCAAACGGCTGATGCAGGAACAGGACAGCTTCTCCGTGGAACCACCTCCTGTCAAGCCCAAGAAGCGCCAGGTTAGAGACTCTGCTATTATGAGTCATTTGCCTCATGAATTTCCTTTGTAAATTAGATCCTGTAATTTCTGGTGTTTTGATAAATGAAAACGGAAAGATAGAAGCACAGACTCTGCAAAGTAAATGAGGTATAATTTTAGCGGCTAACTACTTGGCTTCTTTATTCACATCATATGTGATAATCACATTTATGAAGATTATAATGGAATATTAACTTCTCTCTCAGGTTCCTGCCAGAAACAATGCGTTTGCATCAGCTCACTCTAGAAAAACTCCTGTTCCATCAGCGAGGGCCAAAAAACCTGAGAGCAGGCCATTACCCAGAGCACCTGCAGCCAGCAGAACCAGCCAAGCTGCTAAACCTCCATCTCCTCTAACACAGAGGAAAACTCAGAACCAGCCCCCTAAAAAGACTCAAAACCTCAACCAAACACAAACAGTCAAAGGTACCTAGGTTAACTTCATCAAAACTGTCATATTCAACCTCAAAATTAAATGACACAAAAAAATGCATAAAGAAAACTACTTTTATTTTCATTATCATTTATTTTATACATTTTCATTGCTTTCATTTAATTGTAATATTTTCATGACAGCTGACATGACTTAAATATTCCTAAACACTTTAATTTATTGCAAACATTTATATATAATTATTTACTAGGGCTGTCAGTCAGTTAGCAGTTTTAATTACATTAAATTTAGATGCGTTAATCAATTCAATCATAGTAATTCACAAATACAGATATTCACCAAAATAAAGAAGATAATTATTCAGTTATTTAGTAATTGTTCAAGTAATGAGAATTTAAGGGGAAAATAATCTTAATTTTTATAAAAAATAATGTCACAATGAATGAACAATATAAAATATATTTTGTTTTTCTCATAATTTTTGGCATAAAAGATGCCTGTTAAATTCACAGCCATATTTGCTTGCTTGGTAATAAATGGTCATCTTGAGTTTTTTTGTATCTCTTACAGGTTTAGAACTAAGCAGTGAACTGGTTGCATCTGTGCAGTCCTTTGCTACATTCCTACAGCATCAGGTTGAAGCCAGCAGTCTAAGGGATAACATCCCTCCTCGAGCAGACAGGATCACACCCGAAGCAGTGACGGGAGTGAGTTAACTGGGATTGAATCAGAGCATTGGATCAAATCCCCAAGCTCATTAACTTCCTGTTATGTTTGTCTGTCAGCACCAGGTGATGCAAGAGAAGATGGATGGTGGTTCAACCTTTCAGCAGGAGCGCTCATCACTGGAGCGCTTCCGTCTCCAGCTCGCACAAAAAGAGAGAGAGCTCCATCTGAGGGAAGAACAATTACGGGAGGAGCACAAGCAAGAGTTTGCAGCCCTCAGACAGGAGAACTACGTGTTACAGAGCAAGGTGAGCCCCCATATAGCTGTAAAACCTACATAATATATTCAGAAACTTTTAAAATATAAGAATCTTTTGTTCTTTGGGGGATCATTCTGCCATGGCTCTACATCACCGGTGGGTAATTCTGTGTGGTCAGATTTTGTACAAACCTCAGGGAGCTGTCTGCCTTACCACTTTATAATTGCTGCTGACAGAGGACTTAAAAACCACTCAAGTTCATCTATTTTCCTGGTCTATTTATCCAGCCTTAAAGCACACATGAGCTTGTATCTTGTTAAAGAATCAATAGAAAACCTTCAGCTGTCTGGTAGCTCTCCTTAATGTGAATGTGGGGAACATTGTATGTTTGCCACAATAAGTGTGTTCAGTAAAAAGGGCAGTCTATACTTGCAGGTGAATGCTTTGGTAAAGTAATCATGACGTCTATAGCAAACATATTTCTGTGGCTACTCTGCCCATGGAGATTTTTACTAAGCTATGATGAATTGTGCTTTTAGCACAAATGCATTTGCTAAGGTTTATTCTAGGCATTTGTTTAAATACCCTCAAAGACTTATTAAACAGAAAAAATATTGTTTAATAAAAGCCATGCTGTGCTCCGTATTTGGTAGTGCTTTTTGTTGCACTAGCAAATAATGACCCTCAACAAAAGTCAACCTTGGATTCAATAGGAAATTAATATAAAACATGGGACATGGGGGCATGCAGCATTTTATTTACCCTTCTGGTGAAGTATAAATAGTGATTATCGACAACAGATCTAAGGAAGAATAATTCTTATATAAAGTGCTTTTGTCGAATGGCACCATAAACATATTTGAAGGACAATTGTTCCTGGAGCAACCTGGGGTTAAGGGCACAATGGTGGTGATTCACAGCTCACTCCTTACTGAACCACTAAACTACATCATTAGACCTTTTGAAATTGTTAAATAACCACCTAATCATGATTATTTGATCTAACCAGGCTAATTTAAGATAACCATAATGATTCATTCATTTTTAACTTCCTATTACTTGATTGTAATGTAAAATAAAATAACTTAAAGCAAGTCTACAAAGGCTATTTTTCCCACAACCTTGGCATTGCTAGTGCATTGCTCCGAGGTTTGAGCTACAGAAATGCCCTTTCTGGTGCAGTAGTGTAATGTGAATGCTCCATACTTTACAAATTGGCTGTCTTGGGAGGTTTATAATTTATAATTCATATAATGATTCAAATTATGTGTTGTTGCTGTTTTGTAACCAGTTCATTTACATGGACCTGTCTAAACAAAGCAGCTTAATGAATTGGACTTACCAAAGCTAGGACAGCACATGTCTGGTTTATGCAAATGTTACAGCAATGTAGAAATGTCACAAAAAGAAAAGCATTAAAATGGAAAAGCTACAGTATTAAAAAAATATCTATTTCCATGCTATTGAAAAATGTATAAGTTAGTAGCGTCATTATTTTGTTACTGCTCCTAAAAACTGTGCCTAAAATCTGAGCAAACAATCCTCATTTATCCAAGTTAGGTTCTGAACAGTTAAATGATAATTCCATAGCTACACCGTGCCGAGGAGGCCAGTAACATGCGAAAGTGGAGTTTTGGCGAAGCTTCGGATCCTGTGACTGAAGAGAAACTCAAGCTGATAGAGAAAGAGATGAAGGAACAGGAGACTCTGATTCAGGGTTACCATCAGGTAAGTCTCTCTCTCTGTCTCTGCTCATTTTCTGGCATATATTAGAATGAGGCATGCTGAAACATGGCTCTTATGACGTGTATTCATTATATATAGGTTTCATTTTCTTATCCCAATCCCTAGATGTTTTCTTTTGGTGAGGTCTTATGAATGTCAGTGAATAATACAACACAAAACTCAGTAGTCTCTTATTTTTTAGATCATTTTACAGCATAATGAGGCATGTAATTAAACACAGTTCTTTTAAAATGACACTATTACCAGAATTTAGAATAACGATGATAATTACTTCTCACATTTTCTGTAATTACAGAAGAACTCATGACCTTTCCAGAAACCAATTACAATAAATCTTTCTTATCTGGAACTATATTCAGTGTAATACATGCACTGAATATATTTGCATTTTGGTCATTATTAGTATTCATATGCTACAAATAGGTTCAGACCAAACATGTCTGAAACTTCTTTCTGATGATTTTAACTATAAAGGAGAATGAGAAGCTTTATCTGCAAATGAAAGCGCTCCAAGCTCAAAGCAAACAAAACGAGGAGGCTTTGTTCATGGAGAACCAGAGACTTCTCACTGAGCTTGCCCTCACCAGGTCAGTGCTCTAAAAGTGTCGGTAGAGTGATCTAATACATATCACATCGGGTTGTTACTATTCATGCTGTTCTTTGCAGCAGCTCATATAAAAGTGATACATATTAATTCCCCAGGGACCGATTGAACATGAACAGCATTCAAAGAACTGTCGGAGGGAGAAGCATTGCTGACCAAAGCTTCAACATTGCAGATTTGACAAATCAGGTACAAGCCGCACAGGTAATTGATCTGCAGTACGTATGTCAACCGCTCTTCCAGAACCTAGTAAGATGCCTACCTAGATGGCACTTTAGATGCATTCCTGATACAAAGGTCTTTGTGTGTAGAAAAAGGAGGAGCGACTGCAAGATGAGATCCACAGGCTAAAACAGGAGAAACAAGCACTGCATGTAGACCTGGAGATGATGAGGAAAGAGCGGGACCTTGCCAGAGTTCAGGTTGTGTGTACATCAGGTAAGCGCTTCAGATGTGGAAACATTATGGCGGCAGTCTATTTTCAGCAATGTAATTGTCATCTTAATGGCAACAAGCATCTGGATGTATCTGCCAGGTGATAAAGGTTTCGAGCTAAAGATGCTCCAGGAAAAACATCAAGAGGAACTCACAGAGCTGAAGAAGAGACTACAGTGGTATGCCGAAAACCAGGAGCTACTAGACAAAGATGCGGCCAGACTCCGAGCCGCCACCACTGAGACTCAAATGCTCACTGAGCAGGTGGAAAAGCTAAAAATGGAGGTCAGCAAGAGGGCCAATGAGCAACCAAGAAAGGCAAAAGAGAGAGCGGGTGAAGCTAAAAGAATCCAAGACCTGGAACGACAGGTCAGACACAGACTCTCCACATACTTTTGTTGTTTCATTCTGCAGGTACAGCTCATTCAGGGCACGTTCTTCTTTGTTCTCTGTTTGCTGAGAGGTGGAATTATCCAATCGTGTCTGTGAGTAACAGACCATCTGTCTGGATAGTCAGTTTTCCAAGCACTTTCTGTTTACCACCTTCTCTTCATGTTAAACTCCTTTCTTTGACTGATGTGCACCTGGATGACTAAATTAATAACTTTACATTTAATTGGCTTAATGGTTAGTGTGCTCTCTCTATTCTCTTTAAGTTGTGTTGCTCATGTAGGTTTCGAGTCTGGCTTGCAACATTTCCCAAACCCTTAATTTTCCTGTCTGCTGTATCTATCCAATAATTAAATAATACTAAAAATAGTAATGGATTTCTATTCCACTTCCTGAGTGTATTGCAATTATTAACATTAGCTGCCTCAATAGAACTTTTTGCATTCTGTTCCATCTATCACTCATGTTTCCATTTCCTGTCTCAGCTCAAACAGATGGAAGAGCTCTTGAAACGCAGGCATCCAAACTCCCTGCCAGCCCTGATCTTGGCTGCTGCGTCTACAGGCACAGAAGATAATGGATTAGATGTTCGTCCCCCAACTGCCCCTCACCAGAACAATCAAGTCATCTCCTCAGAATTGTCTGCGTCACAAACTCAGGGGTTGAAAGCAGAGATGGAGGAAGTGAAGAAGGTCTATCAGAAGCAAGAGATTTCCCTCAAGGCAGAGGTGGCCTCTCTGCAAGAACAACTCCGCCAGGCCCAGTTGTTGACACAAGCAGACAAACCTGCCCGCAGCCCCTCACGGCACCAGCTCCATGCGGAGGCGGCACAAGCAACCCGCATTGAGAGACTGACCCAGGAGCTGAGCTCCAAGAGCCGCACCATTCAGGAGCTGAGCCGTACTGTAGAGCGCCTGCAGAGGGAGAGGAGAACCATGCTGTCGGGTCCTGGCTTCGATCGCGCCGCCAATGAGCCCAAGCGACATTTTGGTACAGCCAAAGAGCCCAAAAAACCTGCAGCTGAGACTTTCCCCCCTACCCAAGATGAGAAAGACTACCACCCCGGAGCGTTCTCAGGATCACACATCTCAGAGGTGCAACTGGAGAATGATAGTTTGAGGATAAGATTGGAACAGCTAGAGATACAGAAAGAACAAGAGAAAGCTTCCTTGCAGGCTGCAGTCGTACATGCACAGAGTCAGATCCTCAGGTAAAGTCTTTTGGAGTGCTTCAGTCATGTTTTTAATAAAACTTTTACAGCACCCTCAAAGTGTTCTGAACAAAAGATGAACAATAGCTCACAGGGCCCTACTACAAGAAATCAAATTCCACAATTCTCTTCACAGAATTTGAGCTTTGTCAACTCCACAAGCTAAAAAAAAAAAGAAATTGATATTTGTCATCAAGAAAATGAAGGCCACTGTAATAGTAATGAAAATCAGCCCATCGTCCCAACAGTTAATTCAGCATAAATATTCAGCACAACAAATGATGATAAACAAATAACTTGAAAACTTTACTATACTTTACAATAAGATACAGGCAGTTGGGGGTGAGTGGCTTAAATGTGCTTAATTGTAAAACTATTGTTGGATTGCAAAAAAACATAATGGTCTTAAAATAAAATTTAAATAAATTAATTAAGCTTTATTTTCATTATTATAATAATGATTTCCTGTTATGTGTATGTCAATAGCTGTCTAAGCTTCTAGAAGAGCTGAAACAGGCCAAAGAAGCTCACAGTCCTGAACTACGACACTTCACTAGCCTGGAACAGAAGATTCAGTCCATGGAGCTCCGTTATAATCAGCGTGAGAAACAGCTTCAGCAGGTAACACTCTCACACACACCTACAAACACTATAAATACACTTCGGTTCAAAAGGTTTGGTTCAGTACGATTTTTTTTTAATTAAGCAATACATTTATTCAGTGGTGGACAGTAACAAAGTAGTTTTACTTCGTTACTGTACTTAAGTACATTTTTCAAGTATCTGTACTTTAATGGAGTAGTTTTATTTTGAGCAACTTTTACTTTTACTTCACTACATTCCAAAGCATAAGATCGTACTTTTTACTTCACTACATTTCATAAAACCTATCGTTACTCCTTATAATACATCACGTGCTCCGAGACGCAGAAGCGGTGTCTGATTCAAGAACTAACGGATTCTTTTCAATGAACCCGTTAAATCGGTTCGCAAATCACACCAAACGATTCATTCACGAATTGGAATGCTCCGATTGCAGATGTTCTCGAGTCGACAACTCACTGATTCAAATGATCCGTTTAGTGCAAGTCTCTAGAACTGAATTCACAAGTAAGAATCGGGAGATATTGTGAGCGTGCGTGTGTCTGATGCGGTTAAAAGTAAGTTACTAATGTCGAATTTTAGGATTAATTATTGTAACTGTAAATCATATTTAGGTCAAAGCTGTCAGTTGTTTGTGAACTAAATCTGCTGTAAAGGGTGACATTTGGCTAGGGGTGTTTTTATGCCACAGTTTAGTTTTTTTTTTTTTTGAGAAAAAAAAAATCATTATGAAAATCTAATTATAGCTTCCTTATCATATTCATTATTTCCTTATTGGTTATTTTGGGAAAAGCCCAGGTATTTTGAGCAGTAGGATTATAAAAAATATATGCTAATATAAAATTAAGTGATAAGTAGCCTACATAAAACTGCAAAATAAACATTCATCTATCGGTACTTTTTACTTAAGTACATAAAAAATCAAGTACTTTTGTACTTTCACTCGAGTAAAATTGAAAACTAAGTACTTTTACTTGTACTGGAGTAATATTTTATTATACAGATCTGTACTTTTACTCAAGTACTTGATTTGTGTACTTCGTCCACCACTGCATTTATTAAGCAAGGATCCATTAAACTGACAGTTAAACTAAAGTTACAGCAAAGAGATTTAGAATGTTCCGAAGAATTTCTATTTCTGCTAACTTTCTGCTCCTCAAAGAAACCCGAAAAAAAACTATCATGGCTTCCACAAAAATATTAAGCAACTTTCAACATTGATAATAATAAGAAATGTTTCTTGAGCAGCAAATCAGCATATTAGAATGATTTCTGAAGGATCATGTGACACTGAAGACTGGAGTAATGATGCTGAAAATTCAGCTTTGCCATCACAGCAATAAATTACATTTTAAAACATATTGAAATAATTCAAATTGTATATATATTTTACAATATTACTGTATTTTTACTGTATTTTTGATCAAATAAATGCAGTCTTGATGAGCATAAGTGATTTCTTTGAAAAACAAACATTTTTAGTGACCCTATACTTCTCAACATGAGTGTGCTAATATGTACTACACACACATGGACTGTAAACAATCAGCGCACATCTAGTTTTCTGTTGCTCTACAGTATATAGTTTTTTTAATGGATCTCAACAGCAGCCTATTGATTGACAGCCTCTGCACTTTGATTGAGTGCACTGATGTCAGGTGGCGTTGTGTTTCCAGGTGATTGCAGACACACGGCGGGTGGTGGAACAGGAGCAGCAGGGTGAGTTGGAGCGCTGGAAGAGACTCGCTCAAGGCAGGACTAAAGAGCTGGAGGTCTTCAGACTGGAGCTGGACTCCATACTGGACGTGCTTCGTGAACTCCAGAGACAGGGTGTAGTCATTCCCGTCCCAGAACACACCTCCACCACCAGCCACATATACCTGCCCCTCCGATCCTGAGCTGTCTTTGCATCACTCAGAACACTCAAATCTCTATGTCTCTGGCTAGCAGAATTCCTGTGACAGAACTAATCATTGATATAAATCTGTGGGAATATTTATAATTATATATTGTAAAAACATTATTTAACATGTAACATCAAATACAAACAATTTGGTGTTAGTAATTTGTAGCATAAATCCAAATGTTATTTTGTATTAAAAGTTAATTATTATTTGCACATTTTGTCCTGTTTTGCTGCTCCGTTGGTTTTACAACACCCGCTTGAGCAGAATCCAGAAAACCTGAACAAACAGCAGTAAAATTGCTGTTGATACACCACCCACATAAGAGTTATATAAAAAAATGCTGAACTCAAAAGCTCAACCTAAAAGTATGTTTGAACAACAAATACTGCAGACATCATGATTTATTACTCGCCTTAATGCTGGGCTCAGAGGACATGGTCTGAATGCTAATAAACTACTAAAGAACATAAATTGCGTGAGTGGCTGGAGATGGAGCTGCAGTGTTGTGTGATGATTGATAAGAGCTGATCAGCATGCGGTACTGTTTATAAACACCAAGGGTCCTGATAAAATACAATTTAATTGGGCACACAGGATACATTTGAGGAGAAGTCGTGGGGTATAAAGAATTTAAGTTCTAGTTCAGTTTATTTATAGAGCACATTTAAAAATGGCCGCAGGCCAACCAAAACGCTGTACAAGAAAAGATCAAATTTAAAAGGTTGAGTACACAAATAGCAGCAAAACGGTTAAAATTGAACAATCTTATAAACTAAAAGCAACAGAATAAATAAGTTTTGAGACATGACTTGAACTCAGACAAAGTGGAAGCCGATCTAATATGAGTGGGAGCTTGTTCCACAATGTGGGGCCGGCCACTTCAAAGGCTCGGTTTCCCCTCGATTTTAGCCGGGTTCTGGGTATCTGAAGGAGGAGTTTACCATCGGATCTAAGGCCTCTGGTGGGAGAGTACCGGTGAAGTAGATCGGACAAGTAAGAAGGTTTTTTAAGTAAGAAAAAGAAAAATAAACATTTTACACAATTCTAAAGTGAATCGGAAGCCAGTGAAGAGATCTCAGAAGGGGGTAAGTGTGATCAAATTTCCTCCTTCCCTTCAGGAATCTCACTGCAGCATTTTGACCGACCTGTAAACGTGCCGTTTGGGACTTAGATATACCAAAATAGAGGGAATTGCAATAATCCAGGCGAGAGGTAATGAAAGCATGGATCGCAATCTCCAAGGAACGGATTTGATTTTCGATAGAGAACGAAGATAGAAAAAGCTGGACCCAATGACCGTGCTAATCTGCTTGTCGAATTTGAGGCAACTATCTACCATCACACCAAGATTCCGTACCTGGAGAGAAATTAATTGATTTAAAGTTTAAAGGTCAAGGTGATTTTTTGGCCTGGATTCTGAGGGGTCAAAAACAATGACTTCTGTTTTGAGTTCAAAAAAAGAAAGTTCTTGGCAAGCCAAGTGTTCACATCCTCAAGACATGCTGTTAGATTGCCAAGAGCACTCTTATTTTTCCTAGACACAGGCATATAGATTTGCATACCATCAGCATAACAGCGAAATGAGACATTATGTTTCCTGAAGATGGAACCCAGAGGGAGAAGATAGAGAGAAAAAAGGACAGGAGCTAAGATAGAGCCTTGAGGCACACCACAGGATAAATTGTGAAGGGAAGAAGAAAAACGTCCTATTTTTACAGAGAAACGTCTATTGGTTAAAAAAAGGTTTAAACCAACTTAAAACAGCCCCCACTAGCCCAACGCAGAACTCCAGCCGAGAGATAAGGATCTTATGATCGACAGTATCGAAAGCAGAGGACAGGTCTAACATTACTAAAATGACAGAATCTCCCGAATCTGTTGCCATAAAAATATAATTAAGAACTCTTACAAGAGCGGATTCTGTGCTGTGCAGTGATTTAAACCCAGACTGAAACTTGACTCAAGAATATGATTGTCAGTCAGGAAGGTCTGGAGCTGTAAGAACACAATTTTTTCCAATATCTTGGAAATAAATGGCAAAATGGAGATCGGACAAAAATTTGATGGAATAGAGGCATCAAGTGAGGGTTTCTTTAGTACAGGTGTAACCATGGCAATTTTCAAACTTGAAGGTATAGCTCCTTCAAGCAAAGATTTGTTAAATAGCAACACCAGCCCAGGGCCGACAGTGTCAAAAATTTGTCTCAGATAGTGAGGATGTATCGTGTCATACGAACAAAAGGCAGGTTTAAGTTTAAACATTACTTCCTTTAAAGAATGTAGAGAGACAGGATTGTAAGAAGTCCACAGGGCAGGTGAATTCATCTCTATCGGTATTTCCTGATCGGAGACCTGAAACTGGGCACTCAAACTTGAAAATGTTTAAAAATAACTAGAGAACCAAAATAACTAGAGAAATCCTCACAAAGTGCCAAAGACGGGCAGTGAAGAGAATTTACAGGGGGGTTTAAAACGGAGTTGATGACAGAAAAAATAGCTTTTGGGCTGTGGTGATGTTTCTCAATCAGTTTAGAAAAATAGTAAGCCTTAGCTTTCTTAACAGCATTCTGAAAAAATAGGCAGTTCTTAAAGATCTCGTAAGAAATCTGTAATTTGTCCTTTTTCCACTTCCTTTCTGCTTTCCTGCATGACTGTCTCAAGGAACGAATACTATGATCAACCCACGGCTCCGATTTAGATATAGATTTTGACTTAAAGAGCTTAAAAAGAGCTGTAAGGTTTAAAGTATCTGTCCAGGCAGTATTTAAAATGATAAAGTGATGTTCAGCATCAAGATCAAATAATAGAGACTAATGATAAAAGAGGGTTGACCTCATTATAGAGCTTGACAAAATCCTCACAAAAATTAGGCAAATATGCACGGGCGTGTGTAGTATCAGAAGCAGGTGTAAGAGAAAGTAATGGAAGAGACATTTTAAATAAAATGGGAAAATGATCATAAATAACAGAATCAACGACTTCAATGTCAGTTATAGATAGACCATATGACAAAATTAGGTCCAAAATGTGTCCATGAGTATGTGTGGGATGATTAACCCACTGCAGCAGGTTAAAAGAGTCAATGATGTTTAAAAACTCAGAAGTTAGCTGCTTAGAGGGGCAACATACATGGACATTTAAATGGACACCTAAAATAAGGATGTTTAGTGATCAAATCCCCTACAAACTCTGAAAGCTCTACTATGAAGTATTTGATTAGATGTGGTGGCCAATAGATCAGAGCTAAGACCACAGGTTCAGACCAGTTCAGAAGTAAAACCTGACATTCAAAACTCGTGAAGGGTGGAAGATAACAGTCGGCATCGAGGTCTGAAAGAATCTTTAGCAATGGTGACGCCTCTGCCTGATGATCGCAGAGCATTGTAAAAGTGATAGTTGGCTGGAACAAGTTCAGAATATGGACTGAAGTCCCCTACCTTCACCCAGGTCTCGGTGATAAACAGAAATTCCAGGTCGTGAGCTGTAATAAAATCGTTGAGGATTTAGATGTACGTCTTGTTTACCAGAGAGTGAGCATTTATCAGCGCAATTTTTGGGGAGCATAGAATGGTGCACGAAGCCGATGCTTTGCTCAGAGGACAGAGGTTAGCAGTATTTGCGCCCTCACAACGTGGCTGGATAATGATCCGAGAGTGGAAATTTTCCGCTTGAACCAGAGTCGGGAGAAGCAGAAGCAGTGAATTTAAGTGACAAATTTACTTGATACAAGCTAAATCACTACCTTTTGAAATTTGCATAATCACAAAAAAGAAAGTCTATTAATGATTCAGAATAAATGCCGTACTGATAACCTGCCAATCTTCAGCTAGTGTCACATTTGATGTCTGTTCAAAGCTGTCACCTATCTAAATGATTCATTATTTGTCTGCAAGTTTGAAGGTGAAATAATGTCACTAAGTAAATCTGTAAATTATTCAAAGTTTTCATCAGTGCTCGTTTTTATTTTGTTGATAGTTAATAATGACCTGTACTGTAATAATAGTAATAATCCTGAATGTCCTGAATTTTTAAAAGGTTAAAACATTGTATGTGATCCCCATAGTTCTGTATTATAAATTACAACAGTATTTTAAAGACTTTTTTTTTTTTTACATTTTCTGAAGAAATATGTGGTGCTTTCTCGTCACCTGAGTGTTCATGGTTGCCAGGACATTGCTCATTGGTCACTAAGGTTTTCTGAGTGGTTGCTAAGTAGCAACTTTCTAATCCAAGTTAAGACATTCTGTTCCCTATATTGGTCCCTCAATGTACATCTATTTGATTTTTCACCTGTCTTATCATCTGTCAGCTTAAAAGTCAGGTCAAAAAGTAATAACACAAGCTGTATAATGTGAGGTTTCTTTCAGGTGTGGATTTATGTAAAAGTTTCACCACGGGAAGCTTTGCACTGAATTTTATTGGCATGTAGGTGTTCAATAAAATGGGAGACAGAACTGAAGTATTCAGTTGCTCCGGCAGCTCAGGCAGCTGTATTCAGACAAATACAGAGAGTTAGTACGCAAGTATACTGCAGATATTCTGCAGAAAGCCACTGATTCAGTTGACAGGTGCAGACAGTGAGCTATTTTCTACTCAGGCATTTGCTCACACAACAAGGCCAGAGAACCAGGCAATTTGCTGCAATTTTTCCATTAGGCTACATAAGTACAATGCTGCATAAAGCATCTTCCTAATGCACATCAAGAGATTTTTTTTTAATCATGCTGATAGTAGAAATGAAGTGTGAACCAATAAGGCATTGCAATCTACTGGAATGTCTTCCTACAACCGGAAACAACATCCTTGTCCTTGATTTCATTGTTTTTCTTTAAATATCTGGCATTTTCTCCCAACAGTCTTTTAGCATGCTGTCACTGCTGTCAAGAACATATTCGCCAAATCCCATTCGTGCAATCCCACCTTTTTTTATCTTACGGACTGACATCATGAGTCACTGTAGACCCCAGATGTCAGAAAATATCTCAGCCTTAAAGCGTGCACTGCAAAAGCGGAGCTTTTGAAGCAAAACACCATCACTCTTCACTTTTAGAGATCACAGGCTGAGTTGAAGACAATAATGAAGCCATAATGAGTGAAAAAGGCCATCTTTAAACTGGTGGATTAGTCAATGATATGATGGGTACAGCGTGGACGGGCCTCCTCCATTATGATTGGTGGATCGCCCAGTAGTAAATCTTCATCCCCCAACACAGAGTTCAGTTCTGAGTTCACGAAGTTGGGAATATTGAAATGCGCCAAGAGTGCCGCCTCTCGTTCCGCCCTGGTGTCCATGACCATGCTTTGCACGACTAGACCAACCGTTTCCACCTGGTCTCTGGAGTCGCCGCTGCCTGTACGTCCATGGGTGGCACCAGCAGTGGCCCTGCCTCCTTCTCGCTCTTCTTCGTTTA